CCCGCAGCTGGAGCCGCACTGTGAGGTGCTGGGACACTGGCTTAAGTCTAAGACGGGACAGTTCTCATCAGCCCCAAGGACTTCCGTCCCCCAGACGGTCCAGTGCATGGACGCGCTCCCGTGCAGTTAGCTGCTGATTGTGCGGCGCACACGCGATCCTGAATACGATCCGTTCTCCTTGGGCCGAAGCGTTGCCGACGCTGCCAGCTCACGGCTCCTCGAGGGAAAGGGACCGTCTCTGGTCCTTCATGGCACTTTACAGGTATGAGAAAAAGATGGTATGAACTTAACGTGACAACAACAGAGTAATGTTCTAGCACTTTCTCTTGGACTGTTCTTTTTCTTTTGGGGGGAGGGAGCAAATAATTTTTAATTTTTTTTTTTTTTTAAACAAATACACTACAGAGAATCCTGCCACGCTGCCAGCCCTGGACGCACTTCTGGGCCACAAGTCTGCACACTCCTTGGTGGCTGGTTCTGCAATGGTGGAATCTTTAATTTTGACTTCATTACTAGGACCATCGTGTTATCCTCACACCATCTTTTCTCCGGTGTGACTTTTGTTGTCCAGTCCCCCACTGCTGGATGTCCCTCCCTTCTAACTCTGGCTTGCCTTTCCCACTGTGGCCACCACCATGTCACCCCCACCAGCAGCAGGACGTCTGTTCGGCGGTCCCTCCATCCCCTTCACACAGACAATATACAGATTTGGGGCTCCTGTGTTGTCAGCACAGTTGATAAAGGCTCCCACCAGAATACCCAGGGAAATCGGGAATTTTGCCCCAGAGGACCCACCATGTCCTCGCTTCGACACTGAATGTTAGGATGACTATTATCTTAGATGCGACGTGTCTACAATATTCTAGGTACTGAGAAATAGGTTTGCCTTTTTTGGTGTCGGTTAAGGGATAGGATATTTTGAGTATCCTTCCCCAAAACACAAGCCAGCATGGTTCTTACGTTAGTTTCTAAGGTTGTAACAAGAATCTTTGCTAATAGCATTTATAAGGCCAAGTTTAATCTCCAACGCCCTCACAGTTAATGTGCCAAACGAAACAACCACCGTCGAGCTCCTAGATGGCCAGGCCCTCTTGTCGCCTGGTCACTAACCTTCCCAACTGCCCTGTGAGCTCTGAGTAGTACCCTCTGTTCTACTGATGAAGAAATGGGCTCAGGAAAGGTGGAATGTCTTGCTCAAGGTCACATGGCTGGGAAGCCAGTTCTGTCCCGAGCTGTGTCAGGACTTGACCAAGCGTTTTACGGACAGTCTCGTTTGACCCACGGGACTCTGTGAAGTCGGTATTAGACTGGCGGCCCGACATTTCACAAAACAGAAGAAAGCGCCGAACTTCTTAAAGATTAGAGAGGGTCCAGCCAGGCTGTGTTCCAAACCGGTGGAGGCGGCAGCGCCCCCCGCGCCTGGTGTGCGGCTCTGGTGGGCTGTCGTCCCGACCTTCCTCCCTAGTTTCAGATGGGAACATGGTGACTGCTTTCCCACGGGGGAAGAGTCACACTTATTTTTTTTCCTGCTATTACAAAGTTTAGTTTTAAACATTGTCGGGCTGTATGGCTGCTTCATCAGCATTTGCTCACCGGGATACAAAGCGGCTCCAGCTGGGCACAGGTTCTGAAGAGCTTATTTTAGATTTTTTGACCTATACGGTGATACTCCACATGGACTCCAGTATCAGCATTCTAGAAAGACACCACCTCACCAACTGTGCTCTGCTTCACACTGGAGAAGGCCTGAAACAACGAAGGTAACCTTGAAACCACTGGTTTACTTAATCATTCTGGGAGGACTGTTTTTTTTTTTTTTTGGTACCACGTTAGCTATAGAAGATAAATACAGCTTAAGATTTGAACCACGTCCTGCTGTACTTTTTCTCAAGCCTGAAATAGGATTTTCTAACACCTTTTGTGGTTGGAAATGCTGAATTTAAATAGGACTGCAGATATAAACAAAAAGAGCAAGATGTGGATTGATGTGCCTATTTCAGTAGAATGCAGCCACATTATTTCTGAAATACAGATACAAAAATTGACAAACTGACAAGTGGGAAATACAGAAATCTGGAGATGTGCACTGCAGTGACAATAGGCCTTTAAATAACGCTATTAGGTACTAATAAAAGACCTGAGAAACGAGTAACTTACGTTGTCGAGGGTCTCTCCAGGTCACAGTTTTTAAGAATAATAAAAACTCTATTTCATCATTATTCATACCAGTGGCAATGACACGGATAAGTTTTTTTTCATTTTTCTTTTTAACAAAGGATAAAGCTGAGAAATCAGATGAGGTAACTAGGTGAGTCTGAGCTCGTGGTCAAGGATTCATTTTCTCCTAATTTGTGGAAGTCAGACTCCATCTCCCTAACGTGCAATGTCCTTTCCAAACAAAGGACCCAGGTACCTCAGTATTACCGTGGAAGTCCCTGGCTTACGTTCAGTTTTGCAACGTGTTACGCGATGGTACCTTCACTGTCTGGTTGAAGTGACAATTGGTGTGAATGTGGTTGAGTTAGGAAGCCAAAAGACAGCAACATTTGGTAATTTAGTTACGAAATGGTAAGAATTTATATTAGGTGCCTAAAATCAAACTCTTTAATTCAAAGGAAGATCTACTATCTACTTTTGTAAGGCAAACGAGTGAAGTGGTGATTACCCATTACTGGAAAGAATACCCAAGGAGACAAGAAAAACTGAGTAGGTCAGAATCTTATACTTAGGGTTCATGTAGGAAAATGCAGCGCCACAACATGAGGTCCAGTCCGCAGTGCGATACACGGACTGGGTCTTGCTGCGCAGGTGGGACTCCGGAAATCGATCAAGAACCTTACTTATAGTCATTTGGATTTTAAACTATAAACCCAAGCACACTACCTAAGCAAGCCTGTCCTATGGCATCAGTGAGAAACTTTTCTAGGAACCTACAGGGCTGAAAATGTCCGTTTTACATTTTGGCGGCTGACGTGGAAGACATCTAGGAAGGAAAGGACTCTTCACTCTGCCAGTTAGGTCAACAGACCGACACTCAAGTGAGCCACAACCTCCGTGAATGTGGCGTTAGACTCGGACAAGCTATTCTCCATCGCCAAGAGGCGCATCAAACACTCTCTTCTCTGGATCCTGGATTCCTCTGCCAGTTGCCGGCAGGGTGAGGGGCTCAGCTCCCGCGGTTACCCGGTTGCCAGGCACAGTGGTCAGCCGTGCGGGTGGAACAGCCAGGCCGGCTGAAGTGCCCAGGCCGCCGAGAGGGTGAAGCAGGCAGCGGACAGGCAACACTGTCAGGCCGTTGGGAGAAAACAAGGCAGGACTTTTTATAGCAGCATTATTTAGTTTCTTATTTAATCGTGCACTGTTATTTTAAACAAATTGTGTGTGGCTCTAAATAGCAGAGATGATGAAATAGGTTAAAGTCATAAATTATGGATAAGGGCTGTGGAAGAACAGGAAGACTTTATAAAAATTACAGAGGGAGAAATAATAATGATTTAGCTAGAAAACAGTGCTATAAAAAGCTTTCTCTATAAAAAGGTTTTTTTTCCTTTTTTTCTTTCTGGTAGTTTTAAAGCACGGGTCATACCATTGTTCCAGCTCAGAGGTCAGCCAACTTTTTCTCTGGAACCATTTATTGTCCGACAAATGGTACGTAATTTGGGCTTCGTGGGCCGTACGGTCTCTGTCTCAACTCCTTGACGCCCCTGTTGGACCTTGAAAATAGTCATGTGCCATGTGGAAACCAACGGGTGTGGCTTCACTCTAGTCACAAACGCAAGTGGCAGGCCAGAACAGAAGCCAGAGTGTAGTTTGGTCCAACAGGAAAATGATGTCGGCCACATGTGGAATTTAAAATCTTCTGATAGCTACATTAGAGAAGTAAAATCAGGTAAAATTATTTTAATAGTCTATTTTATTTAAACCCAAGTGTCATTTCAACATGTGCTATAAAAGCTATTAGTAACACTTTACTGGGGTGCCTGGGTGGCTCAGTTGTTAAGCGTCTGCCTTTGGCTCAGGTCATGATCCCAGAATCCTGGGATCGAGTCCCACGTGGGCTCCCTGTTCCGCAGGAAGCCTGCTTCTCTCTCTCCCACTGCCCCTACTTCTGTTCCCTCTCTAGCTGTGTCTCTGCCAAATAAGTAAATAAAATCTTAAAAAAGAAACCACCACTTTACCTTTTTTGGACTAAGTTTTCAAAACTGTGTGTACTGTACACTCACAGCGTATGTGTCAGGTCTCAGCTGCTCGAAAGCCACACATGGCTCGTGGCTACCAAGCTGCAGTATTATGTTGTGAACTTCCATGCTGGGCTTTCCACAACCAGTGTGGTTTGATGACAAAGTACTGGCATTTGCTTCTTACAAAATAGGGGACGGAATTACGTTGCTGCAAGGGACAAAGGACAGGATTACAGCTACTGAGAAGCAGCATGTGGCCTCAGACACTTTAAGCTGAGCTGGCCCAGGATGCTGGGGCACAAATGGGTAATGAGAGCAACGACAGATCAGATGATGTTAGCGTCACGTGTCAATACAACAAACAAATCTAGTTTAAAAAAAAAGTCTTGATGTAGACCACAAAATGATCAAGGTGTAAATACACCACTGTAGTTTTTGGCCTTCAGTAAAAAAATGCTGATTGTTATTAACATAGCTGGTCTTCAGCACTGTCACTATCAGAATTGAAGGTGTCTAAAAAATGATTGGGAAGATAAAATGGAAAACTGTGTAGCACGGAAGAAAAAGAGCTTCAAAAGTAGACTGAATTTTTTTAAAATGATTAAAATGATCTAAGTGCTTTTCCAATTATTTTTGTATAACAGGGTTTAATGCTAGTTGATAATTTACCAAGTTCCCAAAGGGTAATCTTAAGCCATAATCGTAAGCTCAAGCCTTGAGAAGTTCTTCAGTATTTAAACCCAACTTTCCAAGTGATCGAATCAACATTTCTAAGATAAAAATGGATAGACCCTTTTGGTAAGAAAACGTAGAGGCAAGTGTTTTTAACAAAAAATTTATTACCAAAATACAATATTAAAGTCAATACATGACAAACTCCTGTAAAGCAAAATAAATTATTCTAACATTGTACAGTATTTCCAAAGGTAGTTAAAGAAGCACTATAGACCTTGCTTCACTGTTTGTGGAACAGATGAACTGTTCTACCATGAACACGATCCTAGAGTTTTAGGCTTTAAGGCATGCAGCTCGATGTGCAGGATAATTTTACAAAATGCAAATCATCCTATTTTAATAAGATACAGTGTCAGAATTAACTGTAGTCTTTACATGTCAGTGTTCCAGAAATTTTTAGACTTTGGCTATAGAAGCAATGCCATAGTGTTACACAATACTCATTTCTTAAAAAAATACATGTATTCATGTCCATGAATATCAAACTCAAATTTCTATTAAATATATTTTATAGAATATTACTTAGAGCACCTTGCTGTACAATAAAAAAAGATTAAATAAGTGTCTATGAAAACTAAAAATATAATAAGTCTCAATAGAGAAGCCTGCTTGTCTTTGTCAAGCCAAGTACATTGTGGGAAGATACAATGTAAACATGGGTGCCCACCATCTGCTTTGTGAGAAAAGACAGAAAATAAAGAAGCCACCAATAACTACCTCAAATAGGATGAGAGATCTAGAACAAAGGCTTCCGTCAGTGCCTGTACACTGCACTGGCTGGACACAGAACTAAAGTCTACAGGCAGGGCACTGGGAGAACAGTGGGGCTGCCCACCACCTTCTGGGTTATTAGAGGAGGAGAGAAAATGCTGGCCCCCTGGAAAGTATTACTTGTAATGATCACAATGCATCATTCTTGCCCCCTTTCCACCTTTGCCTCATACCTAGTACATTTCTTTTAAAAACTATTTTTACTATCAAATCTTAGAACTCCAAAGTGGAAAACAAGTACTATGAGCTTTATTATGGCAAAAGATCTACTACAAGTAAAATGTTATTCCTATAAGGAGAATTCCTGCTGATTATTGAAATAGCTATCTCTTCTATAATTAAAATTGCATACTTAGCCTTCATTATTACTTTCAGAAATGTTCAATTGTTTTTAGTAGAGACACTGTTCTCTTAAGGCTTGCCACAAAATGGTAACAGGAAGCTACAGAACACCCATGCCTTATGGGTCCTCCTGTCTTCCCGGGGAAAGTGTGTGAGGATATTCTAGGCTAGAATCAGGTGAATGTGAAAGATTTTGAACTTCTGGATTAATTTTTTCTCCATGAGTTAGGTAAATTTCAAATCCATGATTCCAAATGGAAAATTTAAGTAATAATCAATGGAAGTGGTTTAGGGAACTGAAGGTAATTTAGAAAGTCACTATTGATGTTTTTGGGATTTTTGGGGGTTATTAATATTTTCCAAATGATTACATGAAATTAAAACCAAGGAAACGTTATAAAACAAAATCTGGCTACTAAGGTTGTTAATTTTCAGAGTAGGTGATAAAAATGGAACCACTTAAAATACTTATATTTGAAATTAAATATAATTGTATTTTAATTCTGAAAACAGGAGAAAATATAAATCCACATGCAGTGAATTTGGGTAATATAATTTAGTATATACATAAATTCATTTTATCTTTTTAAAAACCACCTATCAGAAATGGAGTAACTTTCATAAATAAGTTAAAGCTACCTAAATCAAACAGCTGCAAAGTTAGGATCAATTCTGTTTAAATATCATCAACATGAGATTTAAAAAAAATTTAAACAATGTTTCAAGATGGTCTGGCCCCACTTGAGTAGTTTCTGATATGACCTTAAAAACATTCATTCATTCAACCCATACCTGGAGTTTGGGAATTCTTTCCTAAAGGTGTCTACAGAGTACTCCACTCAATAAATTGTTTTCAGTGTGTTCTAAGGTTATCACAGTCACAGCCTCAGCACTAGAAGGTGTTAGAAATCAAGTTCAGGAAGAGCACCATGAAGATGGTGCACTGCGTGGTGCACCCGCCTTTTGACTTGTGTGCGGAATTTACTTTGACAAAACAACACAAAAATAAATGATCAGCACTACAAAAGCGAAAACAAAACACCCCTGTTCTCTTCACTTCGAACACACTATACGAAAACGGTGTAACTGATGAGAAGCTTACATGTATCCCGTGGCGAGTTTTAGAGCAAAAGCACTGGTAGTTGGTCTTCCACATGTCCTACTGCCCACTGACAAAATGGAATATCCGAGCTGGGAGAAACCCTGTGGACTTGCCAAATGTTTGTTATTAAAAGTTTTATAAACAACCTGAATTTTTACTAGAGTTTAGCCACATCTGATTATACCGCTCATGCTAAGTACAACTAGATTAATAAGCTTCCGGAAGGGTCAGATCTCCGCAGTGGTACTCATTTTAAGAGGATTCTGAATTTCACCACTCTTCCCCCAAATGATTTTTATTTAAGAGTTCCAAGTACTTCCAAGGCCTGATGATCAAATGCAGCTTTTCATACTTTGTTGCCTGAATAGACCTTTGTGATCCCACACTTGGTCTGGTTTGGGAAAGAGGACTACAGAGCCCGTGTAGCTACGGAGAAAACTGCGGTGTTCTGTCAGGCACTTTGAAAAGAGCCTTTGGGAATGTGCTGCGCTAAAGGAGTCCCCATTTTCACGAACCTTCTCATTTGGTTTGAGGCTGGTGGGAACGCACCTATTTTCTCCTTTGCTCACAAGAAATTCCCTGTAAATTTAAGACAGTAAGTTATGTCTTAAATGCCTACTTATACTCTGGATTTGGATTCAGAGGTTTCTTTCTTTAAGAAGTAATGTTTCTTTAAAAAAAAAAAAAAGTAGTACTGTATCTTAGATTGAGCATAGGATTAATTCCTATCAATTTGGGGGAAGATTTAGGTAGATCATTTCAAAGCCCTCTGGTGATCTTTTCCTTGTTGACTCTGTTGGTGACAGTGAAAACCCCTCAGAGAGCAGCCTCCCACTGCCCCCAAGAGGCCTGTCCCTCTAGAGCTGGCACGTCCAAGTTCAGAATGAAGAAGAAAAACTAAACTCTGCTTAAGATTGTGATACTTCTAAAACAAGTTTTAACATAGTTCCAGAAAAGCTCTTTCTTAATTCTTTTGCTTGCATTTCTACACTATGATAAGCTTTGAATAATAAATACACTCAATACTCAGAAGAGGTAACAGGGTTAACACAGGGTTACGTCTTTGCTTCCTCCTCAAACCACTTCCCTTCACTCAGAATATTTAAATATCACTAGTGTGTATCCACTAGGAATTTTTTTTATTACACTGCAAATTTGGTTCTGAAGTCACATGCATCTCCTCAAAAAAACCAAAAACCAAAACCCAAATACCACACCAACTACTTCTTCTGTGTCTAGTAAGTTACTTCAGTTACTTGATAGCGCAAAGGGGAAACCGTGCTTTAAAGAATTTCTCTTCTACCGTGTTCCTCTTCAAGACATTATTCAATCTAATTTGTGTTTAAAGTGGTGCCGTGGTCCTTATTTAGGATGATGTTTACAATCTCACCCTCATGCTCTTTCATATGATCCAAGAGATTTTCTTTGCTGGTAGATTCGAAGCCACAGATACAACAACAGAAGAGTAAGACACAATACTCCATGCCAGGAGGCGCCAGACTGGAGTTTTTTTCCAAACTATATGAGGTATTACTTGTAGGGCTCAGTTTCTCATTGTCGTTGGAAGCGACGACTTCACCAGGAGCCTCAGAAATCAGCTCTGAGGATGATACCAAATTTTCCGAACTTCCAGTGACAGGATCGGCGCTTTCCTCGCTGCTGCTTAAGAGTGTCTTTGCAGGGGATCTCCCCAGAACTCTTAAAAACAAAACACAACACACCAAACGCTGAGCTGGTTATACTGTAAGACCAGCAGGTTTAACGCTCACTTTAGCTTATGTACAACAGGGGCAGGGGTAGGATCAGGTACCTGCCGCTCTGTGAAATGGCGTCATTGATGGCCTTGTTCACTTGTTCATAGTTGTAATTTTGGTCACTTGCATGCTTCCACATGTGAGACTTCAAAGACGGAGGATGGCTGCACACGTACCCACACAGAGAGCATCTGAAAGACACGTGTGAGAGGCAGAACGATCCCGTGACATCACTCGAAGAATTACAGTGATTCTGTAACAGTTATGAAATTCCTTCTCCGGAAGCCTTATGAGACATCCTATCTCCCTAAACCTAAGACGTTACTGATTGTAAGAGACATATTGATTTCGGAGGCTAAAGAGTCCTAGAAGAGATAGCTGAGAATCAATAAAATTAAGTGTTTTCTGTTATAAAAAATTTATTAGCATCATGACAAACCTCCCAGATTACTTCGGCTATTACAGTTATTTGGAAAGATTTCTAATATAGTAAAATACAACATCTTTGCTCTAAATTACCTAAATAACTACACAAAGAAAGAAAAATACATAAAATCAATACTCTATACCACTCTCTTTTAAGAAAGTAGAAAGGAGGGCACCTGGGTGGCTCAGTTGGCCAAACGTCTGCCTTTGGCACAGGTCATGATCCCAGAGTCCTGGGATCGAGCCCAGCATCAGGCTCCTTGCTCAGTGGGGAGTCTGTTTGTCCCTTTCCCTCGACCCCATCCCCCTGCTCATGCTCTCTCTCCCGCTCTCTCAAATAAATAAAGTCTTTAAAAAAAAAAAAGACTGTGAAAAGGAATTAAATAACTTTAACATGAACTCTGCTTATTTACAGATACACAGAAAATGGAAGTAGTCCTTAAAAGCATCAACAATTTAGATTTCATAAATAAAACTGTTAATTAGTTATCTTTAAAAAGTTTCTATTCAAAATAACATTTGTTTCAGATAACTGGTTATACTTGGTAAAATCGGAACAGAAAGAAGTATTTAAAAAAAGTAAAAAAAAAAAAATAGACTTTTTGGGAATAAATTCTTTTAGCACTTTTAGGTTTATCCCTTTTCCCCTGCATCCAGCTCCCCCTCTGAGTAGCATCTTGCATCAGCGTGAATTACCAGTTAGAAAGAGTGAACCAAAATGGATACACCATTATTAACAGCTGACTGCTCACTGCTGGTGTTACACAGTTCTGTGACACTTCTGTGACAATGCATCATGTCACGTATCCACCGTGACGAATCCTAAGGGATAATTTCCCTGCCTGAAACATCCCCTGTGCTCTATGTAGTCAGCCCTCCCAGCCTCCATCCCTGACAGTCGCTGAGTCTTCGGCTATCTCCACAGTTTTGCCTTTGCCAGAACGACACAGTGCTGGAATCATACAGAATGTAGCCTAAGGACTGATTCCGTTCATGAAGCCACATGTAGTTCAAGTTCCTTCACGTGTTTTCACACCTGAGAGTTCTTATCACCAAATAACAGTCCACTGTCCAGACGCACCACAATCTGTTTATCCATTCACCTTCTGAAGGATATCTGGGCTGCTTCTGTATTTCGGCGATCATGAATAAAGTTGCCGTAAACATACATGGGCAGCTTTTTCGATGGATATGAATTTTCATCTTTTGGGTAAATACCTATGAACACAACTGCTGGAGTGGATGGTAAAATTATGTTTATTTTTTATTTCATTTTTATTTTTCAAGATTTTATTTTTAATTAATCTCTATACCTAATGTGGGGCCTGAACTCCCAACCCCGAGACCAAGAGTCACATGTTCTATGGAAGGACCCAGCCAGGTGCTCTGCAAATATACTTCGTAGAAGAAGTTTTTGTAGAATACTTCAGCAGAAGCCTAACAAATCAGCTAACTTAGCTGAACTCTTCAGAACAGTAAGAGACATGCTCACTAATAATGAAACACAAAGAAAACAAAAGGGCACAAGTAAATACAATTAAACAGGCAAGGTCTGAACTCTCCCTCTAACCTGCCTTCAACTTTATGACAGATGCAGCAGTATTAGCTTTTATTACACATCCTGAGGCATCAGGTCCAAGGCCAGTGAAGGGCCTTCTACCTCAGGAAACACCAGGCCATTTAAAGGCAATAAATGTGCAATTCCTGGAAGAACTTCCATAAATTCAAACATAAAAAAGATGTCCAATTTTCATTAATAAGCAGAAAAATGCATCATGCCCACAAGCCTGACAGAGGTGAGTAAGTCTGATAATGTCATTTTTGTAGAGATGTGAAGAAATGGAAATGCACAAAGTGTGTGTCTGTAAGCACAGCACTCTGGAGATTAATTCTGTTAAGACTGAAGAGGGGCACACATCTGTGACCATATAGTATAGTTCTAGGGGGCTACCCTAAAGATATTCTTGTTTTTACCAGGGCACATATGCAAGAATCACCACCACGGTAGCCATGACCAGTTTAAAAAAAAAAAAAAAGGATGCAACTCACAGCCACTGTTTTCCCACAAGAAAATGGAAATAAAATGGTTTATTTTCTTCCTTCCTTATTCCTTCCTTTCTTTTTAAAGATTTTATTTATTTATGTGGCAGACAGAGACACAGCAAGAGAGGGACACAAGCAGGGGGAGTGGCAGACTGAGAAAGAAGCAGGCTCCCCGAGAAATGATGCCAGGACCCCAAGATCATGACCTGAGCCGAAGGCAGACGCTTAATGACTGAGCCACCCAGGTGCCCCAAAGTGGTTTATTTTCATATAAAGGAACATTATACTCTGCCTAAAATGAAAGAACTAGATGTATACTTATCCCTATGAACCAATGTCAATAATGATCAATGAAAAGAAAAAGTAACAAAAAGATTTGTTTAGTATATCATTTAAATAAATCGTGAAAATACCAAAACCAGTATATATTAATATATACATATTTGTATACACACACACACACACACACAGTCTTGAAAAAATGTTAGGAAATGATACATATTAGTATCAGGACAATGGGAAGGAAGAGGAGAAGTTTTAGCTGTCCCTGTTTTACTTCTTCAAAATGTGGTAAGATGTTTGAAAGGTTTTAGTATTTAAAATATTTTAAAACTGGCAGGCCCCAGTGGCCTAATGGATAAGGCACTGGCCTCCTAAAATATTTTAAAGCTGTTATCCCAATCTCTTTAAGACTTTATAGCTTGCATAATAATTTTATGATTGGCCACACACAAAAAACTAGCCTTAAATCATTTTATATCTGGGATGCAGTACTTTTCTCTTTTTACGTGGCCTCCACACCAGAGCCCAATGAGGGGGGCCTGAACTCACGACCCTAAGATCAAGACCTGAGCTGAAATGAAGAGTCGGACACTTAACTGACTGAGCTGCCCAGATGCCCCATGAGTGCAGTACTTTTCTGACATACCCCAATAAATCTGTTTCGCTAATATCTAGAAAAGGGCTGGCAGCTGGTGATCACTCCCATCTCCATGCCATTAAGCTCAGCGTCCATGTCTGACTATACTTGTTACACTGCGGGGTAAGTGTGCTCTGGTACAGTCCCTGGACTGGTCCCCTGAAAGGAGAGACTGCCCTGCACCACTGTGGCCTGGCACCCAGGTCCACACTGAGCAAGGGGGAGTGAAGCAGCCAAGGCTAAGAGATGCCGCTCACTCCCACCAGAACTTTCACTAAGCACAATGCCTCGATGGATGTCAAACACTGCCACAGTAATTTATGACATACACACCTTTACATTTGTATTAGAAAAGGGGGAAATATACATAAACTTCGGACTCTTCAGATTACTTGCCTCCTTGTACGGATTAAGACTCCTGCCCTGAAACCTCAGTGGGAAACTCCGTACCCAGATGAACGGCAGAACGCTGCACGTCAAAGCGTCCTCTGAATGAGAAGTCAGTCTTATCCAATGAGAACTTTATACTTCGAGAAAAATGGGCCAAAAATAAATGTCAGAAATTGCAAATGTATCCCATTGGAACGTCTCCAATGTTACTCAAATTTTTAAAAAATAAGAGCGGGGAATTATTCAGTTAAAGAATAGAGTTTTGTTTTTTTTTAAAGCAAACTAACTTTAGAATAGTTTTAGAGTTTTACAAAAAAGTTGAGTTCCTCCTATTGTTACCATCTTTTATTGCTGAAGTATATCTATCATAAATAAGAAGCCAAAGTTGATACATTATTATTAACTAAAATTCACACTGTATTCAGATTTCCTTGATTTTCTCCTTTTTCTACTCCAGGATCCTATCTAGGATACCATGTTACATTTAGTCATCATATATCCTCTGGATCTTCCAGACTTTAATAGTTTCTCAGACTTTCAAGAATACTGGTCAGATATTTTGCAGAATGTCCCTCAATTTGGGTTTGTCTGATGTCTTTCTCATGTTTAGGCTAGGGTAATGGGCTTGTTGGGGGAGGAAAACCAAGGGGGATAGTGCTATTCTCATCACAGAATACTGTCACAACATGAACAATGTTGGTGCTGACCTTGAGGTCAAATTTCCCCACAGGAAAGTTAGGCTTTCTTATCCCCTTTCCACCCTGCACACTTTGGATCAAAGTCACAACGTGCAGCCCACACCTCACTTAAAGGAGCGGGAATTTATAGTCTACCTCCTGATAGCAGAGTTATCTATATAAGATCACAGGGAATTTTGCACAGGAGCTTTCCCTACTCTCATCCATTTATTTATTCAATCATTAGTGTCAGTATGGACTGCTGCATATTTTATAGTCTGGGATATAATTCAATACTACATTATTTATTTTACTGCTGAAATCACTAGGGGCTCCTCCAACTGGCTCCCATGTCCTGCTGACATACTCCCATTGTTTTGTCTGTTGAGCACGTCCCTTACTTTTTGGCACTACAAGATGCTCCAGGTTTACTTATCTACCTATGTGGATCAGTCATTTTTCTAAGCCATTTGTCTTTTTCCTTTTATTGGTATTAGAAACCAAGATTTGGGTGTTGAATCCCCCCCCTTTTTTTAGACTTATTTTAGAAAGAGAGAGAGCTTGCAAGGTGGAGTGGAGGGTGCAGAGGGAGAGGGAGAATCCAAGCAGACTCCCCACTAAGCATGGGGCCCAATGTGGGGCTCGATCTTACATCCCTGAGATCATGACCTTAGCTGAAATCAAGAGTTGGATGCTTAACCGAATGAGACACTCAGGCGCCCCTGAATTGCTTTAT